GTGCGGCTCTCCCTCAGCACTGACCCTCCGACAGTGCGGCACTCCCTGAGTACTGATCCTCCGACAGTGCGGCACTCCCTCAGCGCTGACCTTCCGACAGTGCGGCGCTCCCTCAGCACTGAACCTCTGATAGTGCGGCGCTCCCTCAGTACTGACCCTCCGACAGTGTGGCGCTCCCTCAGTACTGACCCTCCGACAGTGTGGCACTCCCTCAGCACTGACCCTCCGACAGTGCGGCGCTCCCTCGATAATGTATTGAGAATCTGTATTGTGATGTCTGGTTGTTGGATAGTTACTGACAGAAGGATGGCTGGACTTTTTCTCCGAGCATCCATAATCAGGAGCTGTGCCCCTTCTGGACTTGACATTCCTGTATCTGAGCTGGCAGTCTCTACATCTGCCATCCTGATGGTGTGGTGCCAGGTTCAGACTGCAGCTGGCCTGGGCTCTTTAGAAACAGTGCCAGGATCGGAGACGGTGGTGCACAATCTCTGAGGCCACACATTTATAACCTCCAGCACCATTCACTCGGACAGGGAGGTTACTAACTCTCACCCTCCAATCTCACTCACTTCCCACTGGGCATCCTCCCAACCCCCTATCTGAGGGTGAGGAGGGACTGTGTGAGTGTGAGGAGGCAGAGTGCGAGGAGGGAGAGAATGTGAGGCTGAGGCGGGAGAGTGAGGAGGATGAGAGTGAGGGTGAGGAGGGACAGTGTGATGGTGAGGAGGCAGAGTGCGAGGAGGGAGGGAGTGTGAGGGTGAGGTGCAAGAGTGTGAGGGTGAGGAGGGTGAGAGTGAGGGTGAGGAATGAGAGAGTGAGTGTGAGTAGGGGGAGTGTGAGAATGAGGGGGTAAAGTGTGAGGGTGAGGAGGGAGAGAGTGAATAGTGAGGATGAAGATCACATGATGAATGCTCCATAGTGACAGAGCCCCTCGGGTTGGGATGTGACCCTGAAACCTGATGAATAAGACATCCAGAGGCAGGAGACTGTGAGGTCTCAAGATGAGTAGGAAATAGGTCCCTCTTGAAGTAGTTTCCTGATGTCTCCTTCACAGTTGGAGTTTGCTAAGTACCTTCTCCATAGCAATTGTTACAGTGAAGAGACCCATCATGGGGGCAGTACTTCAGAATATAGTCCATCAGATACCCCACTAGGCAACAAGTACTGAGACCCTGCTCCTCTCACAGGAGCTGTCTTAATGGGATTTAAGCTCACCCCGTCAGGCTGAGAGCTGGGAATGTTTCCACTGAAACAGATAGCACTCCATCTACAAAGGCTTGTATCCAGCCCACTGAGCACTGAGCCAGTCTCTACAGATATATCAGAGTCTCCTTTAAATCTTTAACTTTTCATCTTCTGACTCTGAGACGAACAAAAGGCTATATTCTCCCGGTAATGTGTGTGTCTGGGTGTGGGAACACGCACAGGGTGGGAAGTGTTTAGGTGTGGGTTGGAAATCAGTCTTCAGTGTCATACAGAAGGGTAATTCTCTCAGGCCCATTAGAGGAAGCTTTCTGTAAAGTTTGGCCAAGGAGAGCCCAGTTAATCCAACTAATTCCTTTCCTCTCTCTTATACAGGAGACGTTTTTAGAAGATTTGAACTGCCTTGTACATTCAGGCCAAGTACCAGGCCTGTTTGACAACGAAGAGTTGGACAACATCATTGTGGAACTGAAGAGCCAGGAGAGTGAAGGCAATCTGCCCGACAACAGGGAGGCACTGTACCAGTTCTTCCTGCAGGTGGGGCCATCACACCTCAGCCTGAAGCATTACTCTGCACCGAACACCCTGCACACAGTGCTGGACTAAGATAATGTTCCATCACCTCCACACCTCCTGCATCTGCACTAAAGAGCTGGCATTCATTGATAAGACATGGAACTAACTAACACATGAGAGCGTTTTACAGGGTTGATATGGAAAAAATAGTTCACTCTTTGGTGGGCTGTTACCAAACGGCATAAATATAAACAAATCCATTAGAAAGCCTAGGAGAAAAAAGCATGATTAATGTGAAGAGAGTAGAGACAGATAAACCCATGGACAAGAACAACTGGTACTTATAAAGGCACTGTAACATAAGGAAGTCCCCAGGGTCCTGCACAATGTGCTATTAAATCAAAGGAGTAGATTTTAAAGGTGTCTTAAAAAGAGGAAAGAGGAGAGAAGATTAGAGGAGATTTAAGGAGGAAATTCCAGAACATAGAGCTGCTTAAAGGCACAGCCATCAATGGTTGAGCAGTTCAAATCAGAGATTCAGAAGAGATTGGAGGATTACGGATATCTCAGAGAGTTGGAGGACTGGAGGAGATTACAGAGATTAGGAAGGACGAGGACATGGATGAGTTTGAAGACAGGGATGAGAATTTAAAAAGATGCCTTGTTGGACCAGAAACTGGTTTAGGTCAGTGAGGGGGGATGACCAAGACTTGGGAACACAGCTGCAGCAGACTTCAGACTGGCCTCATGTTTATCGAATGTAGAATATAGGCATGGCATAATGGAAAAACAGTAGAATGAGATGTTGATTAATATGAGGAATGCTGTGAGGATGCTAATGTGTAGTTTGAAGATTGGAATGGAGTTGGATGGCCTAATTATCTGAATTCAGAGATGACAATGACAGGGTAAGTCCTAGCTGTTGAAAAGCTGAACCTGCTTTGATTTAGTCATTGACTGGATATTATAGGGCCTGCTGAGAGAGCTGATGAGGTTTCAGTTTAACAGCTCATCTAAAAGACTACAGCTTTGACAGTAAATACCAGCCTTAGGCTTCATGATTAAATGAATGAATGATTTAATTGTCATGTGTATTTTACAGTGAAAAATACAGTAAAGTTTAGTGAAAAGCTTCTACCTTTGCTGTGATTCCAGCATCATTTTGAATGGTTTAAGAGTAATTTTTAAAAAAACAGCTTAGAGAGTCCATAGCCCTCCCATCACTGCTTCACTGCTGCCAGAGCCGAACCCAATGAAGGTAAAAGTCGCCATTACTCAGGTGCCATCTTTCACTGTTGGGCTGCCATCGCCAATGTGACCTCTGCCAATGTAGCAGCTGATCCTGAGTCACTATACTTGCCCTCCATCAGCTGCCTCACCATCGTCCACCAGAATCCTAGTTCACGATTACTAGCCACTGCCACGCTCCAGACCCCGACAAAGCCACCTTTCTCTCACCTTCTGCCAAAAAATGAAAAACGAAGCAAAAAAGGAAAGAAAAGATAAAAAGATTTAAAGTGGATGGAGTGGATGAGCCCAGGGCACAGGAGCCCAGATACCACCTACTCTGTCGCCACCATCTTGGGATTTGAAACTATGATCCCCTGGTTCAGATGAGGGCACAGCCACTGGCAAGAGATACCTATAATATGTGGCATTTTCCTAAGGATAGGAGGTGACGCCACTTACATAATTTCCAATGAGCATGACATGGAAGCAGCGAAAAGGCTGGGTTTTACATGCCATTTGGGGTAGATTTTCACCTATGGTTGTGGGTTGTGGCACATAAAATAGATGCTTCACTAATGTACCACCTTCCACCCAAACCGACCCGTCCCTGAAAATCCGCGTAGAACCGACCATAGATTTTCAAAATAATGAAGGGTCCGCTGAACTGATTAGGACCATAAGAAATAGGAACAGGAGAAGGCTTTTTGGGCCCTCAGGCTTGCTCGGCCATGCAATAGGATCATTATTGATCCAACATTCCACACATCCACTTTCCTGTGTTTTCCCTTTAAACCCGGTTCCACTCATGATCACAAATCTATCTACCTCAACCTTAAATATACACGAAGATTCTGCCCCCACAGGTCTCTGTAGCAAGGAGTTCCAAAACTTACAACCCTCAGAGAGAAGAAATTCCTCCTCATCTCCATCTTAAATTGGTGCCCCTTTATTCTGAGACTATGCCCCCCCGCCCCTAGACTCTCCCATGAGGGGAAACATCCTCTCAGCATTGACCCTGTCAAGCCCCTTAAGAATCCAAGATGTTTCAATGAGATCACCTTTTAGTCTTCTAAATTCCAATGATTAAATGTCCAACCTGTTTAGCTTTTGCTCATAAGACAGTCCCTCTGTACCAGGGACCAGCCTCGTGAACCTTCTCTGAACTGCCTCCAATGAAATAATATCTTTTCTTAAATAAGAAGACAAAACTGCTCACAGTATTCCAGATATGGTCTCCCCAGCACCTTGTACAGTTGCAGTAAGAATTCCCTACTCTTATACTCCAACTACCTTGAAATAATGGCCAACATTCCCTGCACCTTCCTGATTACCTGCTGTACCTGTGTGCTCGCTTTCTGTGTGTCCCTTTGTGTTGTAGCTTTCTGCAGTTTCTCTCCGTTTAAACAATGCTCTGTTCTTTTGTTCTCCCTTCAAAAATGAACAACTTCATGGTTCCGA